GTGTTAATTTAGAGCAGTAGTGCCTTAATGTATTGTGATGATTATGTTTGTTATTGGATGCTGCTAGAGGATTTAGTTAAGCCTGAAGTTTGCTTAGTGAGTGCTGACTGACCTGATCGTACTTGAGACCTTATTGGCTAGACCAGCTAATGAGAAGCTGCTAGTCGGTGGATGATGGGCCACAGAAGGGTGGTGATGTGACGGTGCTGCGGTAGAAGATGAAGACGAGTAGGTTGATGGGGCAGATGTAAGCGATAGGGTTGGGGTTGCATAGGCGGTGGTATTCTGGGCTGACGTGGTTTGCATCGGATGAACATTGGAAGGTGCTTGTTGTGGTTGGGCTTGGGGCTGCGACTGTTTGACGGCTGCACTGGAAGGGGCAGCAGTAGCCGTAGCAGCAGCCGCTGCATCATCGGGAATGTCTTGTGAACTGAAACGACGTCTCAGAAAATTCATACCACTCGAGAAACTTTCCATTGTTAGGTTTTGACTGAGTTGAATTGAATCGCTGATTGATTGATTTGATTCAGGTTTCTTGATTGATTGATTAGACTTGAGTTGAGCTGATCTTGGTTGTTTGATTTAGTGAGTGGTATATTGAACACTGCTCGTATTAGTTGTTGATTAATTAATTTGATTCGTTGAAATTGTTCGTTTTCTTGAGTCTTTTCTGAGCAGCTCGATCAATCAGTGAATCAATCAATCGATCGAGCGTTGTTCAGTTAGTTAATGTTCAGACAGCAGCACTGATAATGATAGTGATGAGCAATACAGTATGCTGCAGTAGAAGCAAGCGCACGTTCCTGACTGATGTCGTTCTTCCACACTGCAACGCAAATTGAATGGATCAATTGTGAGTATTATCGAGCGACGAAACGAATATCAATAATAGTAATCATTTGGCGATTGATTGATCGATAGAGGTGTTGAGATTAAATTGCTTGAGATTGTTGGAAATGGAGACGATTCGTTGAGATGTTCATTGTGTGCAGGCAGATTTGTCGTTGAGAGTGCAGACTGCAGATAGTTGTTGATACTTGACTGATGAAGTGATTAAGGTTTTGTAAGGACTGCAAAGCGTTCAATAGTTAGGTGATATGCTCATCGAGAGTCTACTAGTAGATTCGGTTCATCGTATTATCATTTGTGAGTGACATTGAATTGGTTCGAGTAAGTAGTTTAAGTAAGTAGTAAGTAGTAAGTAGTAAGCATTGATTGGTTTCAAAGAAAATGGTTGACTATAACTGTTGACTGACTATTAAGTTTATTGACTGACTAATTATAACTGGTAATTAATGCTCATGATGAGCTGCTCTTATTTGATGGTTTTGCGTTGAAGAATTGAGTGGATTGTGTGAATAGAAGGAATTTAAATATGTGTGTATGAATGGATGGATGGATTTAGAACATGTAAGTATTGAATAAAGGAAAGTAAAACAAGGACGGAAGACTGATAAAACAATGGAAATTAAACAGAATGAAAGCGGGCAGCTTGAAAGGATGCATGGATATAGGCAGCACGCTGACATTAGCACTTGTTTTGGAAATTAGTTTAGGTATTTTGTTTTGTTTTGGTATATTTAAGAAGTGAATTAATTGTTATCATAAAGTATGTATCTGGTGGGTGCATAGTGGTGATGATTAAGGATATTGGACAGGTAGAATTCGATCGATTCCTTTCACGTTCGAATATTTTTTGAGGGCATTGTTGGATTTCGGTAAATCAAATTCGTTTGACAGAACTGAAAAATTTGATCGAGTGGTTTTTATCATATTTAGCATATATTAATAGGGATGGCATTTGAATGGCATTTTAAAGAACATCCGTAATAATCGTGCGTTAACCAAATAAGTTTAGTAGTGAAATATGCTGCAGCTAGCAAAGAGAATGGATAGAAGTAGTCAATCAGCTGCAAGTGTAAGCAGGATGAAGCCGAGAGCGAAATTTTCTTAAGCGATGAAATTAGCCATTAGTCGAGCATTCATATGGGCATAAAATAAAATAAATACAACAAAAAGAGCACTAGAAAACGGTGTTGAGCGTGCATTGTTATGCTATAAGCCTAGAAATGGACTGATGAATGAAGTGAGCAAGTTGGAATAGGCGAGATCACAGTCCAATAAGACTGTTCGAATAGAACCGAGGAAAATTCAAGCGAAAGTGGTCTTGTTAAACAACAACAACTTCAACCAAATTCTAAGTTGAGTCCGTCCGCAACTAATCGAGCCAAACTGAATAGCAGTAGCAGTAGCAGGTCGTCTCCTCTAGGCATAGCAGCAGCAGCAGCAGCAGCAGAGATAGTCTGTCAACTATTCAGCAGCCATAAGCCAAAGACAAGCTGACTAACAAACAAAACAAGGCAAGCAACTGAGCATTAAGCTTCCTTGAATACTCATGCCTGGAATCGATGCAATGCATTTATTGCTGCTGTTTGTGTGATATGCGACAAGAGCAATATGTGCCGCATTATAGCTTAGCTACTATGAAACGAACAGCACTAGCATATGTTCCATGCTGAATATTGATGTATTTATATACTCACATCAGATAGAATTCTGAAGACTATTTATGCAAGCTTCTGGGCTATGTAATATAGAGCGTAGCTGCTGACTTGGCGACTTAGACACTCATATCATATGAAATTTTAAAATGAAACTGCACTGGGTAGTGGGTGCATTATGAAATCAAACTGAAATTTGAGTTTTTGAAAAATAACAGACGTGAGTGAATAAACGATTGAGATTATGCATGTGTCATCAAGATAAGATGAATAAATAAAGTGAGTTCATTTTTAGATTGCTCACTTATATAGTATTACATTAACACTTATTTGTTTGCATTGATTAATTTAGTTATTAAGTTGTATTTTTTTGTGTAGTGAATTAATTGAATGCTTGCATCTAGTAGTTTGTATGTTCATGGCTGGTTTTCATTTACTTTATCTAGCCAGATGTCTGTAGATACACGAACGAGCATTTGTCTAAAGTCGACTTTTGAAAGGAAAACTTTTCAATAGGATTTTTTTGTGCTGTTGTGAGCGTCAGCGCCTCAAGCAAAATTGAGATTGAGCAGTGGTCAGATTAAGAAGAAGCCTAGCCTATCCTGAGCTTAGGCCTAGCCTAAGCTTTATTAATCCAAAGGATACACTAAAATTTTGGGCAAAGACAAACACGTTATTTTGAAATAGAACCAAACGAATGCAGTAAGGATGTATGTATGTGTATGTGAAGAAATTGTTTATTCCTTATATATCTTATAGCATTGAAGGAATATTACATTATGAGGAGCATTCAAAAAATTTATATCTTCGATAGAAGCGAATAGATGTGTATATGCTTACGTCAACTATGAATTAAGTAGTAAGTAAGTAAGTAGTAAGTGAAATGAGTGACGATTTGATAAAAATGAGTGACGATGCCCAAAGTTGTATGGGCTTTCTTGAGTGTGTTGTAGCTTTTTATGGTAGATAGTAGGTGAGTAGTTATTTATTGGAATCGTGAAATTGATTTAAGTTTTTAGTTGAGATTAAAAGAAATTTTATATGCGTGGACATTTGAGTAATAGCATTTTATTTTATCAATAGCATTCGTTCAATAGCATAGCGTAGGAGTGAGTTGTGGGTGGATGTAGACGTCGTACGTATAAGGTTTGTTAATTGATGATCACTTAAAGAGTATAGGGTTTGATTGTGATTATAATCAATGCAATGATCTGCTAATCGTGCAAATGACAGATTTACCGCACAGGGAGAGAGTAGGTGCTGGTTTACTAATATGGGAATGTGCACTAGTGCATGATGTTGGTATGCAGCTGAATTTTGCATTTTGAGTTTATATGAAGAAGGTACGGTATTATGTTGGTATCTGTATATGTGAAGGAATATGAATTGAGAGATGAATTCAATTAAAAGCAAAAGCAAATTTGGAAGATAGGGAAATATCTTTGCTATATATTTGGGTTTTCATTGGTAAACTCGTGGGTGTGTGTATGTGATTATGATGAATGGTTGAGTGATATGCTCAAAATGTTGAGTTATTTACTAGTTGCTTAGTTGACTGCAACTGCTGCTGCAGTAGCCTCTGCTTCCTCGTGTTGTTTATGTTGAGTGAGATGTTAGCAAACAACAATCAATAGCCCGTTGGGAATTAATTCAGTTTCAGTTTTACTCGGTTATTCGCTTGTTTTGTTATTTGAAATTCTTGTTAGAATATTATTGCTTGAAAAATATAGTCAGCCATTACATTACATTACATTTGACAGCAACGAAGATGACGGCGCTTTTATTAGATTATCGAAATGTAATTGTTAATCTATCATTTGATTGTTGATACCATAATCATTATAATAATTATCATTTGCTGCTGGAAAAACACATGGATGGATGGATGCTAGAAAATGGTATGATGGGTGCATTCAGTCTA